GATTCTACCAATAGTATTGGTACTGCTAGTACTGTAGAAATGAGCTTCAGAACACTTCCAACATGTAAGTTAAGAGTGATTGAGTCATCTCATAAGTGTGTCATTTTTTCTTTTTTCTTCTCTCAATTTCAGTGCCAGTGGCTTCTCCAATAGATTGTGCTAATATAACATTTCTACCACATAATGTCACACTTGCCTGGACTGCACCACCACTAATAGATCAAAATGGAGCACCAGTTGGTTATAATTTAACATGTATGAATACTAATGATGTACCGTATAGCGGAAAATTTTGGAGGGACTAAAATTTGGCGAATTGCTAAATTTTGGTGATTGGCGGATTTTAATTTGGCGAATTGGTGGACACGTGCATTGAGCATGCGTATAATGGATCAAAATGGCGGATTTAATTTTGGCGAATGGCTATCAAAACGCCAAATTCGCCAAATTTAATTCCCTCCAAAATTTCCCGCTATACGGTATCAGTTAATGGATTGAGCCCAACACAAACTTCAATGAACACAATGTTCACCATCACTGATGTCATGCCTTTTACTAGTTACACTTGTAATCTGTCATTCATTAATGTAGTAGGAGAAGGACCCTCTACCCAGTGTACTTTTGAAACAGCTCAACATAGTAAGTCATTTTAGTTACAAAAAGGTTGTTGATGTAAATGTACCTTGTAATTTGAGTTTTGCTCATTTCCACACTGTTTTTTGTGACTGGAAGCATAAATGACATACACTTAAGATTTGTAATGACTTTTTCTCTCTTCAATTTTTATAGCACCTGATGATGGACCACATAACTTTACTTCTTCCCCAACAATGACAACAGTTACATTTACATGGAGCAGACCATCAATACCTAATGGAATAATCACTGAGTATAAACTCAGGGTTGCAAACATTGAGACAAATAATAATACAGTTCACAGCATACCTGCATCTCCTGGTCAAACTGGTATAATGTACACTTTTGATGTGAAAGGATTCTTCACTGCTTATAATAATTACACTGCCACTGTTACTGCTAGTACTGTCATTGGGTTTGGGCCTTTATCTAATACTAGGGGAAGAACACTACCAGACAGTGAGTCTCTTTCTATTCAATCTCACGTAAACATTCACCTTCCATAATGATTTTTTTAATTTTATTATTTCCTATTGTTATTTTATAGTGTCTAGTCCTCCACTGTTAAATACAAGGAGTTTTACTATATCAAATACAGAATTCACTACATTAGAATCAATTGATAATCACACCATTAATGTTACATGGTTCCCTCCTACTACACCAAATGGACACATTATGAACTATATTATTGATGTTAATGAATATAGTGGAACAAACTTGATAAGACGTACAGTGACTGATGTTAACATGGATAAGTTTACTGAATTAATTTATAAGACATTGTTAAGTAAGTACTATTGTATGCATCATTATTTTTTGGACAAATCAGTAGCCATGAAACATAGCTATTACCGGTAATCCACAGTATTGTACATGCATATGCTCAAGACATTCATTAAAATGAGTAGAGAGCCTTATTTTTGATTTCTGTTCATACTTTTTAGCTCCTGGTGTACCATATAATGTCGCTCTGGCTGCTTATAATGAATTTGGCCAAGGAATGCCAGTTGAAGTCACTGTCTTTACTAAAGTTTTGAGTAAGTAAATATGTATCCATTGTTTATGTGCAAAGTAGTATATGTAATCTCTGTGTGTGCATGTAATCATGTATATAGTCTTTTTTACACTATGAATGTGTTATCTTTTTATATCTCTTTTTTATTATTTCCTCTTTAATTTTATTTTTCTTTATTTTCTTTCTAATACTAGCTCCTAGTGTATCTCCATCAGGCATAACAGCGATCAGATCTGCTGATGGTAAAAATGTGACAATAACATGGAATCGTATCAC